ATAGATGTAAGTGTGAGTATTGCAGAGCACACACATACTAATATATATATATATATATATATATATATATATATATATATATATAAATATATAAATATATACATATATACATACATACATATGTACATACATGCACATACATACATATATATATATATATACATATATACATATACATATATATATATATATATATATATATATATATATATATATATATACACACACACACACACACACACACACACACACACACACACACACACACACACACACACACACACACACACACACACATATATATATATATCTATATCTATTATTTATATATCTGACATACGCGTATACACAAATATATGCTCTATGTTTTTTTGTTGTATATCTTGTATTCCATCATTATTATATATTTTACAAGCCATACCATCGGCCTGGCCATTGTCGCCCACAAATATAAAATTCTCCTCCGGATATAAGGTCTTCAATTCATTTAGATTTTGCAGCTTCTTAATGTAGACGTCTTGGAACGATGCCATGTACACGCCATTGCGCTCGGCTTTCATGCCCTTGATACCTGTGGTTTAGGGCCGGGTGCAGAAATGTCCAGAAGTTAGTTGTTGTACGTAAAGACTCTCTGGGGTGTCACTTTGCGGAGCGAGTACTGTACAATGGTATGCCGGTTGTATATACGTAAACCGGTGGTAGTATGACGCTCACTAATAGTCTAGTGGCAAACACAAACTAATAAGAAACCATACGCATATACGTACACATCAGTGGTAAACGTATATACGTACCCAACAGTGGTATACACATTATAAGTCATCGGTGCCATAAATACGAACGCGTTAGGTGCAGGCAGCTATCCCATGAATTGTGTGGCAATATGTATGCACTCAGATCTGTAGTAAACGTAATCGGCCACTGAGTAGATATCAACTCGCATGACAAACCCCGCCAGCGCAATGAGTTTACGTACTTCGTTTGATTTTACGTACTTTTCATGATAAAAGTATGCAAGCCCCGTACATTATTAAGTTGCGGACTGTTGGATGTCTCTACGCACACCGTTCGTTAAACGGAATATTAAAGGTACCGCGTATAGGAAATAGATACATAATCACGAATATGATTGGTAGTGCAAATGCCCATATCTACGAAAACAACCGGTAGATAACCCATATCGCGTAAACGTAATAAATACGTTTTCAGGTTATCATCTACCAGGGCAACGTATATGTGTAGTACTAGATAGATCACAGACAGCAACGGGACGGGGTTCAGAGTGTCCACGCTGCTCACCAAATATGGTTTCAGGGTTTTAGGGTTTCAGGGTTTTACGATTCTAGTAAACTCCTAATATAAAATAAGGAAGTTGGGATACTGGATATACTCAGATAAACGGATAAGCGAAGCTTGCAGTCAATGGACTGGAAGCAGGACAGGCAGCTAGACAATTTGACAATCCGTTAAGAAAACGTTCCTGCTTACGCACTCCATAGTAACGAATGACATATACACTCATCCCCCATGAATACGTATTCAGATCAACGTAAATAGATAACTACCTTCCATACTCACGGCCAACAGTGATGGGATACAGTTGACGTCCTTTGCTTTACCTCGTTTTCCCAACAACGCGTAAGTATTTTCCAACAATTGATATACACTCATTCCCGATAATTACATACGTTTTCAGGCAAACGTAAACAAATACCTACCTCCGATACTCCCGGCCAACAGAGATGGGATGCAGTAGAAGTCTTTCTCCTTAACTAGTTTTTCAAACAACGCGTAAGTGGCTCTTTCCGTAGCGTCTTTGTATATGTGTGGTCTTGCGGATAACATCACCATGTTACCTATAAAAATAAACGTAAACGTACAGCATTTGTGAGATACAACACGGGTCGTTGTACATGTGTGGTATTGCGAATAACATCAATATTTCCTGTAAACGTAAACGTACTGAATTTGTTAGATGCGAAGAGGGTCTGTGGGTATTTGTGGCGCAACACCATATTATTTGAATAGGTACATGCACTTGAACCAGAGCTACGTTTAAGATTTGTGTAGTTTGAGACCTTGAGGACATTATCACTTACTGAAGTTATGAGTCACGTATATCCAATATCTACACTACATTGGACAAATACTGACAAACAAAGATCAATTACGTAAACAAAAGATACCAAAATACAATAGAAGATTGCCTATTCGAAGGCTACATATATACATATATACATACACACACACACACATATATATATATACATATACATACA